CCCTGTCCCCGTCCCTGTCCCCACCCGTGTCCCCCCTCCCTCTCGCTGACAGCCGGCTTTCGCTTTGGCTCACCCCTCTCATTACCCCGCTCATTAACGGGCTCATTAATTACCCGCCGCCTGTCGCTGCCGGCCGCGCGCGGAGCCGGGAGCCGCGGAGGGTCCCCGGTGGGGATGGGGGGCTCGGGGGGGCTCGGGGGGGGCTCTGGAGGGGTCCTGGGGGGCTCCTGGGGGTCACCGTCCCCATCGTCACCGCAGCGAAGGCACCCGCGGGGGGAGCGTGCACGGAGGGGACAAGGACAGAAGGGACAGAAGGACAGAAGGGACAGAAGGACAGAAGGGACAGAAGGACAGAAGGGACAGAAGGGACAGAAGGACAGAAGCGACAGAAGGACAGAAGGGACAAAAAGGACAGAAGGGACAGAAGGGACCTGCAGTCCCAGCCCCCCAAAGCCCCGCAGTGTCCCCGTGCCCCGCTCGTGTCCCGGCCGTGCGGTGAGTGTCACCAGCCCTGCCGCAGACAAAGGGATGGGACAGGACCGGCAATGGGGACCCCGGCGGTGTCACCTCCCCCCTCCGCGGCTCCGCCTCCCCTCCCCCCCCCCGGACCGGCTGCTGCTCCATCTCACCTGCCAGGGAGAGATTTAATTAGCAATTAATGTCCCTCCATCTGTCCCAGCCCCGTCCCCGCGTCCCCGCTGCCGCCCGTGACAGCGCCGCTCGCTCCATTAGCGCCGGCAGCCGCGGCGGCCCCGCCAGCTGCGGGGCGGCTCTGGGCCCCCTCCCGCTGTCCCCAACTGTCCCCAAGTGTCCCCAGCCGCGGGCACCCCCGCGCCGACCGGCCCTGCCCGTCTGTCCGTCCATCCATCATCCATCCCCGTGTCCCTGCAGCTCTCCTGGAGTTGTTTCCCGCATCCCTTTGTCCATCCCTCTGTCCATCCCTCCGCCCCTGGATCTTTCCTCTCACCCTTCATCCCTCTGTCCCTCCCTCCATCCATCCCTGCACCTTTCCCGCATCCCTCTCCCCATCCCTCTCCCCATCCCTCCCCCCCGGTCTCTCCCCACCTCCCTCCTCGCATCCCCGAACCCCCAAACCCCTCTCCCCTCTCGGCCCGCTCCTCCTCCCCCTCTCAGACAATTTTTTTCGGACCAAGCAGCCGCTGCCGAGGTCCCCAGCGGGGTGGGGACAACAGAGGGACCCCCCGAGCCCCCCCAAATCCCCCTCCCGCTCTTTCCCCAGGGCAGACGCCGCAGCTGCTCCGCGGATTCCGAATTTCCTCGTTAAATCCGGGCTGGACGGGGCCGCAGCTGCCGCAGCGCGCCCGGGAACCGTGATGTGACACCCGGGGACCGTGATGTGACACCCGGGGACCGATGGTGTGTCACCCGGGGACCCCTGAGGTGTCACCCGGGGACCCCTGAGGTGTCACCCGGGGACCGATGGTGTGTCACCCGGGGACAGATGTGTCACCCAGGCCGGCGACAGCTCCAGTGGGGGGACACGCGGGGACCCCGGCCCTGCCGGAGCCGGCTGGGGGGTCCCGAGTGACGGGGGTGTCCCGGTGTTGGGGGAATCCCAAATTCTTGGGGGGTCCCGGTGTTGTGAGGGGTCCCAAGTGCTGGGGGGGTCCCCGGTGTTGGGGGGTCCCCGGTGTTGGGGGGTCCCCGGTGCTGAGGGGTCCCGTGTTTTGAGGGAATCCCAAATTCTTGGGGTGTCCCGGTGTTGTGAGGGGTCCTGAGTGATGTGGGGGTCCCAGATGTTGGCGGGTCTCGGGTTTTGGGGGGGTCCCGAATGCCGGGGGCGGGGGGGGGGGGGGAAGGG